GTTCACTCATCACACGTCGAAGAAAGTTACGGGCCACCGAACTAGAAAAGTCCACTTGGGTTGATTTGAACAACTTTCACTCTCTATCCGATCACTGGTTTTACTTCTGTAACTCTGAAGCATCGAAGCATAGTAGATTCCAACCTTTGGACACCATGACCACTGCTTACGAGAAGTGAGTTGGTTTCTTATCCTCTCTCTCCCTCCCTCTTGATCCAGTTCTTTGAAGTTGAATATCCCAGTTTCATCCTCCGTGAATGATGACGCGGAGAGATTAGAGTTGACAGGAATTGCAGCCAGGCTCTGCTTGTCGGGCGAATGTAACACGAAGGGGATGTTCGATGTTCGACCCAGGAATCACTGCGGAGATAAGTGCCAGGAGATCACCAGTTCCAACACTTTTCTAGCTCGGATCTCAAACAGTATGGACTGGGTCCTGCATTGAAGAGGATCATGGTTGTTGTATATGTACAGTGACAACAGGTACCCGCACGGACCACATGGACAGTCAATGAACTGGAGGTACTGTAGTGTGGAATCGCTGTAGTAGAAGACGTAATAGTAGAAGAAGGAGGATACGAAGTTGAAGGCAGGCTTCTCACGTTTTCCAAGAACTGGACTTGACTTAAGTAGGGATTGCACGACTTGAAACGAATTGATATTAAATCTGTCTCGCTGTGTCAAGGCTGGTGGAACTCAAAGGGCAAGAGAGATCTTATATTTTAGCTTTAGAACTCACATCAGCAGTGCCTTGCTGAATGCCCTCTCCGGATGCACTGCCAATATGGACAACACAAATACTCATGCGAATATGCATATCCCTTATTAAAGATAGGACCAGACGTTCGCCATGATATTCCTAAAGCCCCTCGGCCCAAAGGAAAAGAATACAGTAGCAGCTCAACAAAGCTTTGATATTTATCGGTTCATGCTTTCCGACTATGGTAGCCTCTTCCAAGCCATTCATTGTCTTGGATCAAGTACTTGGTGCACTTGAAAGCTATGGTGAAAAGAGGGTCCGGGAGACAGAGGCTCTCTGACCCCCGGAGCAGATTGACTGGGCAGGCTTGACTTCGTTTGAGATGGATTGGGTTAGGTTGGATCGATTCAGGTCTTCTATGCTGGATCATAACACGCAAGACCATGGTGCATGTGAGCCATGAAGAGGAAGAGGCAGATTCAAGCACTTTGTCCTGATGCATGTAGCACAACAACTACAGTACATGTGAGTCTCCTTCCCAACCAAAAATTTTGTCACTTCTTTATCTTTCGGAGGTTGAGAATGAGCGAATTGAGTTGTGTCCGCGTAGTTCATGCAATTTGATTCAACTTTAAACATTTTGGAAGTTTTTGGATATTGCAGGAAATCTGCCAGAGCGCACTCTGTGCACATCTTTGAGTGGGACCATCTGAAATGCCTTCGCATAATTCTGAAACTGGTGGCTGTGCACTTTTGTTGTCCTCATCTTGCTCGATTCAAACCAAGACTTTGTCCTTTGAGTACATAGTGGTCCCAGTAGGAGAAGGATTTGAAAATCTGTTTCAATTTCCTCCATCTCTGGTTCATAGATCTGAATGTCGACCACGTCTTGAGCATAAGAGGATATCAGTGAACAGAATATTTCAAAAATGTCCCTTTTTACCTCAATACAACAATGATGGTACGTTCTTACATAGGATCAGTTGAGTTTCTTCCTGAACAGCTATTGTGAACCATTCACTCCTTTTCAGCTGGATCGCTCGGGCCACGACATATCAATGAGAATGTGCAAAACATCAGATTAGCAGTAGCAGTCCACGGTTGTTTATGACATCTATCATTAGGTGCTTCACACGACTAGGAAATTGAACCATTCTGATTGCTGCGAGGGAGAAATTCCAAGGACAAAGTTCCTCGGGTGGAGTTAAGGGTATCTTACTGGACATCCCCTTAACACCTCAATTTAGCAATGAGATTCCTTAATAGAGAAGACGTGGGCTTCTGGCCCTCGGACAACCACAAAATAAGGACATCTTAGATATATTGAAGATCTGTAAGAGATATAGGTTAAGATCTATTGTACACGTAATGCCACATGTCAGCATGAACGATCTCACATGACTCGGTAAATATCTGATGCACAGATGAGTTTTAGCTCGACAGACTTGCTTGGCTGCCTACGTGAGAAGGACGTGCTAAGGAGCCTACCTTGAGTTGCGCTCCTTCGCTGTCGACGTGAATAATTTGCCAAGTCCAAGCCTTATGAGACTTCTGACTGTGTTCTTTTCCTCTTATTTGATTTGTGAACAATAGCTTTTCCAATTCGATGTTATGAAACTCAACCGAGATAGAAGTGGGGGTTACTGAAACTTCCTGTCTGGCTGGTGTATTTTGCCAACCGAGTCTCGTCATGGAGAGAAAGGTCAGAGAGATAATCTGCTCCAAGAAAGAGCTCTTACGACTAACCGGATCTACTGGCAGGAAGGTGATTGTTGAGTAAATGCATTTTCTGTGCTATAGATTATGGGTGTCTGTTTTATGGGTACTCTCATGCTTCGAGTATTTCCATATGAAGTCAAATGTGGCTATACAATAAGTCTGACTTTGAGCCCAATCCTGCTCTATAAGCCGAATCTTCACGTTTGATGCATTAAGCAGTGTCAGATGGCCATAAATGCCATCAGCGAGATACTGTATCATGAATATTAAACAGTGGCAGAGGCGAACAGTTGCTGATGTTGCTGTTATAATAAAAGATCGGGGCTCAATGCAAGGAATTAGTTAGAGATCATGAACGCCTTGAATTCAGTTCACGTGCATGATCAAATATGTGCCGGTACAGTAAGAGAGGCCTTCACACGTGGAGAGCATCACCAACAGAACGAATTCACATGAAAAGCACCTCCAAATATAACACGGAGACGCAATAACTGATTTGCACTCACCAACGGTGCCAGTGTGGAATTAATCGACGGCGATCGTACTGGAATTCTGAGCTCAAATGAATGCATATGAATGATTGAACTTTAAATTGCATCCATTCTCTGTTCAATAGATCCTTAGCCAAGTCTTCAAGGTTATTTTTATGATCTCTCATTGTCACGTCACGACATTAGATGAGATCAGTATATTTGAAGTGAAATTCTGGATGAGGAGTTTCTGAAATTATAACAACAGGAAATACTTCGTGGTGTTTAACACGAGGTGTAGTAAGACCTTAAACCGTGGTGCGTGTACATGAAGGGATTAGAGTACCGATCTTGAATATATTCTCACTCTTGTTGGAAATGATAGAATTAAAGGACGAATTGTCTAGGAGTATTCGTGATTTTAAATGCTGCTATATCATTCAATATATCACGGCGCTCCCAAAATGTAGCTCACCGTTGTAAGCAGACATCAATCGATTATTTATAAATACATATGACTGAATGAGGGAGCTGTTGACAGTTGATACCATCTTCTCACAATCAATGAGGATGCTGCTCATGTTTATAGCCCACGAGATACAACCAGCTCAATTCAAGTTCTATACCTGTAAGCGGAAACCTCAATATTTTCTCTTATTGCCTCTGGCACGAATCAGACTGCACACAAACGCTCCCTTGTTACAAGATTGAATCGAATGAAAGCGAGCGATCGAGGCTCTACGAAAGACAAGATAGATCATGAAGAGTCAGTAAAAAACACGATAAAGATTCGTCGCTTCTCATTGATGCCAAGCATCAAGTTGTTCAATTGGAGGATTATGTAGCTAGACGAGGAGGTCACAAGATCATCGTGAACATCCTTAACTTTGTACTGTCTCCCATCCACATTATCACCACTATTGCAGCACTATCACTACGGGTATGCTTTTGACTCTTGTCAGCTAGGCAGCTTTCCCATCTCTCAATTGCTCAGTGTCTCCGTCGGACAGTCCCTCCCTGCCTCCCCCGCTGCTCACGACGACTGTAGCCACTCGTGCCATTGTCTATATGCTGTCTGATTTCATGTCATTTGACTCGAGCACTTGCGACGCATCTAGATTATCTACGACCGGCGTCCGTCCTCAATAGCAGGCAGGCAGACATGAGTCAATCACTCACTGCTCACTCTTAGCTGACCTACTCAGTCTAGTAGCTTTTGGGGACTTCGCTTGATAGCTTGATAGCTCGTCCGGGTGACAGCTTGAGCTCACTTCATTGCTCTGCACTGCATTAACATATTTGACTTGTTTACATTGATGCATTCATCTTTCGTTTTGAATCGGCGCATCAGTAGAAGCGGGCTGTCTAGGGAGATTGCAACACCGACAGATCTTTCGTCTGCCTCTTGTGCGGAAAAAGCTGAACCAATTGCTGCATAATTTATACCTCCTACTTCTCTATTCCCATGTTGTCGTCCAAGTTTCTATGGGCTTTGCTACCTCTTTTTTTTTATCATTCTCGTTCGTCCATTTTCTTCTCCTATCTTCTTTTTCTCGTCTCTGTCCAACAACTGTATCCATTGCTCCTCCCTAATTTTCTCCTCCACCTTGATTCGCTTCATTTTATTTTTTTGCTCTCCTTTTACTATTTCCTCGGAGGACAGTTCTTTTGCGCTTTTTCGTTTTCACCTTTTCTCCTTCCTCTCATCTTTTTACCTTCTCCAATCATTCTCGTGAGCTTTTCTAGCGCCAAGTAATCTTTCTATCTAACTTCTTTCAGTCCCTTACGATCAGATACAGATTGACCGGTGCATTGATCAAACCCACCTGACAATAATGCTGTGAGTGGATCGAGTTTGCCAAGTTCTTGACCTTACACTGCATGTGTATGTGAGTCACAGTGATGCTGTGATTCGAGAGGGGCACTGTGACGAAGACGATGTACATCATACCAATTGACTGGGCTGTGTCTACATAAAAAGCAACAGTACATGACATCGATACCAAACCCTCGAAATTGAGAAGGAAAGGAGAATCTGGGAGACAAACCTCCATCAATAACCTTCACTTCATCTCGTCCCGAGAATCATGTTGGGGGCGGTACCAGATTTGCAAGTCATTATAGATCATGTTTACAAACGAGGGAATCCGATTACAGCATAACCTTAAACATTCCGGGTCGCTGGAACTGGAACAAATTTCTCAGTCTGTCCCCTGGAATTTATGCATGATGTCTTAGAAGGGGATCGCTTCCTAGTCAAGAAGAAGGAGAAGACATTTCGAGATTCGAACCAACTCCCAAGACGAACCATTTAGTGCTCGATGACATATACTTCGAAATGCAGTTGGAGCCTGGTAATGCTGATCCGTTCCATTTTCATGATGATTAAAACTGGGGCAGAACCGATGGAACTCATGAAAGCTCGAGCTCTGCACGACGTAATGCTGGCAACAGGAAATGGGTGGATCACTGCAATAAAACAGCTATGTGCGAATGGCAGTGTATGTCACGGTATTGTATGAGAAGATGATGAAAACGACGAACCCCACGTACTTTCACTCTCCTTCTACGAGCCATCAGAATTCAACAGATATACCAAATGCGACCCCGAACTCAATGATTTCTCCGGCCATAGGTCAGCTTAGGCACCTGAGGAAGCTTCTGTGTTTTCTGCTGCTACGTTCGGAACCCGAAGCACATTCGCATCCGCAGGAACTGGAGCAGCTCAGCAACACTCTGAATTTCTGGTCCTGAGAGAGATCGGGAACACTGGGCTCATCCCTGCAGGCCTGCCATAATTCTCGCAGCTCATCAATCTAGACTTGCATGGAGATTAACTCAGCTTTAATCACGAATTTCAGATGCATCTGCTGCAAAATAAGAACAGTCTGAAGGTCTTGGACCTCATCAGCAACGACCTACAGGAGTCCCTGGATCCGGACAGTTTCATCCAGGCTTCATCCCTACCATCGTGGACCTGAGCCACAACAAGCTCGAGGATCCGTTGCCTCCGAGTCTGGGGTGGCTGTAGAAGCTGGACTTGAGCTACAACAAGTTCTGGGGCGAATTGCCCAGGACCATCTTCGGCATGCAGTAGCTGGGGCTTCTGGAATTGAGACACAATTCGCTCGTGGGGGCTTTCCCACTATCGGTGGGATCTCTCCTCCTGCTGAAGGCCATGTTGTTGGAAGGGAACTCGATGGGATCTCCAGCATCCAACATCGATCGGCAGACTGAGAAAACCGCCGGTGCTGGTCCTGTCGAGCTGTAGCATTGTGGGAGAAATTCCCCAAGAGCTAGGAAGCCTAGTGAAATTGCGCACACTGTACTTGGATGGGAACGAGCTCAGTGGACCCATACCATCGAGCCTGGGACTGCTGACGGAACTTTCTGAGCTCAGGCTCGAGTCGAACCATTTCGTGGGACCCATCTCTTTTACTCAGGAATTTTTGCACAAACTGGGTACACGATTTCGGGTGGATGCCACAAATCTGGGCCTCTGTCCCCAAGGGTCCCACTGTTCCGTCGGCGCTATCCCCAGCTCCGCCAAATCCAATTTCCATACCCATTTCAACTATACGCTTTAAGCGTCACGACACTCGCATTATTCATCTGAAAAAGGCTCGTCTTCATCATCTTCCCCCGCACCGGCATCAGGGACAGCAGTGGCTCCAGGGCAGCGCCCCGATTATACTCTTGCTTCCTACGGCCACACATCGGCAACAGACTCTTCTTCTTCATGGCCACTTCCTGGCGATTTTCTGAAGCTTCTCTTATCCGCTGCACCTGCTTTCCTCCTGATGAGTACCAGCACACCATTTCGCTGCCTCGATGCTCAACGAGGCTGATGTCAACACCTTCCTCGGCCCGTCATTCTTCACCGATTCAGTTCCTGGTACTGTGAGATATTCTTTTTCCTGTCTTCTCTGTCGACGCCCCTCGGTGCAAGCAACTGTTCTGCAGAAGCCCCCATGGCATGGCATGTCTGCAGGCAGACACAGGACAACTTCTCCCACCGGTACAAAGTGCAGCAGTACCCAAATCCGATTCCGTGGTCAGCTTCTGGAAACTTATGGAGCTTATCTGAAGAACGCACGCTCGCCCCAGCGAAAAAATCTCTTCAAAGTGTTTTGTTAAAAAGGTGAATGAAGCCTCCTTCCAGTAGTTCCAATCAAAAGCTTTAGCTCCACCTCTTTACCTCGATGTCATACGGAGAGTAGCTCCCTGGTGTAGGTATATAGTACATCTGCTACTACTACTACGATTCCTTATATTGTATAGAGTTTAGTGTCCAGACTCCAGGACCACTTCATAATCTGCCCCCGGCAAAGGAGGATTTGCACATTTGAATTGTGCTTCTAATCTTCAAAGTACACAAATACCTTTCATCATTATCATCTCCATGCATACTCATGACCACGGCAGTGGCTGCTCTCGATTTCTTTATCCATGAGGACGGGGAGTTCAGGCTGCTCGGTTTTCAATACCCTTCGGTGGTTACACAAGGGCTTCAAAGGCGATGGATCGTGAGTAAATGCTTTGTGAATCTCCATGGGCCTGCTTGTAAATCGAGATCGAGCTGCAGCAGCGATTGCAGTAGGACTCTTCCTGTTGTTGCAGCGATTTCTGCTGTTGAAATACGTATACATCAGTCACGAGTTCCTGACCAACCTGACGAAGGATTTCGAAAGCTTTCGGAGCTGGGATCGAGCTAACTTTCCGAATTCGTCCAGTCCAAAAGCGGGGCCGCTGTCGGGAAAAGGGGTGATAAAAAGGGGCGAGGTGATTGAGATCTTCTGCGAGCGTGAGAAGCGCGTGAGCATCGTGGGTCTTAACATCGACTCCGTTCCCGATCTGAACCCGCCGTCCTTCGGAACTGATCGGATTCTGTTCCCCATATACTCACATACCAGATTATACCACACCACGCAGCCTCTGGAGTCTGAGACTCTGAGTCTGTCTCGGTCTATTCATGTCGCTTCCTTCCATGTGGCCGAATCCCCAAAAAAATCCGATCTCGTGGCAGCAGACCAGCTCGCAACACACCCTCAGCAGCCCCGTCCGCTTTTCGCTGGATTGCTTCAATCTCTCATCGGCCTCGCCTGCGCCTCCTCCGCAGTCTCACTCCATTTGCTGCTGCTTTTTCTGGGATCGGCCATTGGCCTGGCCCAAGGTTTCACCAAGTCTCTCATTTCCGGTTATTGCCCGGATTCTGTGCTGGCTGGAAAGCTTTGCGGCATGCCAGCCGGCCCTAGGCTCGCCAAATTTAGCCTCTGCTCTTCATCCATCCCACAGCAATGTCCCGAATCCTCCATGTTCCTTGTGCCACTTTGGACCAGAACTTGTCGAGATCTCTTCTCTACAATCTCTCCTCTATTTCGGCTCTCCTTTATTTAATTATTTATTTAATTCAATTGCGTGGGGTGATATAACATAGAGCATATTATTTCTGCATGTGGTTGCCATGAGTAACTTTTTCTCCCAACAGGATGATGTAATCAAAATCTCGTTTTTGAAGAGGGAACTCTCACAGGTGTCTTTTTGTGGTTGGCGGAGATGAATCGAGTGATGATGACATGGAATCACACGTGTCGCCTTCCGCTTACATGGAACGGAGTACTGTCCGTGAAACCTTGTATGAATCAGGGATGTCCCGATGCACCTGTCCCCGTTCATGGTAAACTGAAAAGGAGAGTATGGGAGTCTTGACAGCTCCTCCTTCAAACCATCCAGCATATACGGAGCAGTTGGAATATTGGCTACTCCATTTAACTGATGCGAGCAACAATAACCACCATCGAGTCTAGCTAGATTCCAAGTAATATCCCTTCTAGACCTCCTCGTACCCAGCCCCGGGGATATATACATAATAGCCCCTAGCACCACCATATTGTCACACTTTCCAACCGAACTACGTATCCAGATTACATCAATTTAGGCACCTTGTGCCCACCTCTATGCCGAACCAAATGAACCAGCTCAAATCTCTACGGTAGAGGTTTCACGGCTCTTCTCAAATACCACCAGAAACATGCCCCACACATGCTCTCACCACAACCTATCAACTATGGACATCTAGACTTTTAAGAACCAACAACAAATACATGATCCTTGACACTCAACCGGACGTAAGGCTAAACTAATCTCACACCGTATTAAATGCTTGTTCCAGCTATATTTTATCCGACGCCATCCTATAGATGAGTCAAGCACCCATTTTTTCAAGTATCATCTGGTTCGAGTAAACATAGCAAGCCTACAGATTCAGATCATTCATAGGAAGCCTCCTAAAACTCTACATCCAACAAGCTTATTACCACATCCTCTCACAAGCACTCTATACCCATATCGAAGCACTACAAAACACAAATGGTCACTGCTTTCAGTTTTACACATATTTTAACTGTTTTCACTTTTACACATGTTCTCACTGTTTTCAATTTCACACAAATTCAAAATGCCTAATCACTCACATAAACATTTTCCTGTCTTACTTTAGAAAGACGGTTGTTGAAATCAGCATCCGAGAGAGGGCAGCATTAGGGCAGTGAAGAAAGCAGCCGAACATACAGAGTAAACGCGAGTAATCCACGGCGCGCAGCGACAGTGGGTTATACACAAGTTCCAGTGGAGATAGATCCACAAAACTTCAATCTTGTATCGAATCTATTTGGAAGTTACTTCGTACCTTACATCATAATGTAAATCAACACATAGATCTTAGTATTAATGTACCAATATATCTGCACATGCAAATTATTGAACATTATACTCATATGGTTTTGTGAAGAAATGTAAAAATATAATCGATACTTTTTTATATAAAGCAAAAAGCAAAGTTCTATATAAGAGAAACATTTTTTCATTTTTAGTTTAAGATAACAATAAAGTATTACATGAAGGGTAATGCAATATAAAATGGCTTATACAGATAAGATGAATTTAGGTCTAATCTTGTCTTCTAAATTACAATTCCAGAAAGTATTCATAATTAAACTCATCTTCTATGTGTATCATATAATGTGTTGCATGTTTTAATATTAGTACCATCATCATGGATGACAAGTTAGAATACTAGATGTGAGATTTGGAGATTCGAGCTTATAAATACACATCTTAAGCTCATTATAGTATTAATTTTTTTTTTAATGTTCATATTCCTATCATTAATGTGATCAAAATCACAAGTTCTATTCATGAATTATTGCAACTATTAATGTCCGGTTTGAATCTATGATTTCACATTGTGAATATTCATCAGAATTTATGTATGTGGATCATTTAATATGTTATTATTCAAAAAGTAGTTTGATGTATAAATATTTTATATACAAAACCATTGTATCACAATCATATTTTAACATATTTTTTATTCAAATACATGTATGTATGTCTACCATTAATAATTAAATAATAATTTCATACAAAATATTAAAGCTCTATACAAAATTTTAATTGATAAATCAATAGATACCTAAATAATCACAAATAAATGTATCTAAATTAATTAATGATTAATTTAATTGATATCCTAAATCTACAAGTTGCACACAAAAAAATTTGACAAAAAAACTCTATTCAATTACATGAAACAATATTTATTCACCATTGTATGTATGTATTTCATTTTCAAATGGTCACAATTTAAAATCTCTCTGATTTTTCAAACACCTATGACACACATATAGATGTGTTTCCATATTTAAATTTTTTAGACTTTAAGAGTGAAAGAAAATGTAATTTTATTTTATTCTTACTTGAATAAGAATATTCATTTAAATTCAAATTTTAATGAAAAATATTTTCTATTGAACATTATCATGATAAATATTAAATTCTTAAAAAATTGAATCGATTTTTTTTTTCATTTACACATATGATTCATTTTTTGAATTTATTCTCTATCATCACATATTTTTAAAATTATAGAAAATGAATAAAAAATAATTTAAATTATATTAATTATCAAATTTATCAATATATTCCTATATTTAAAATTTTAATAAATCAAAAAAGAAATATTTGTTTTTGTGTTAAATTCAATCAATTGAAGGCCAAATTAGGCAATTCTAAATGAATTATCACATTATAGTTCCAACTATTTCAAAGTATTTCTACATAACATGACAAATAGGTCATTATGTTTAATAAAAAAAATTTAAAATTTTGAATTTTGCAAAGAAAAAGATTGATCCAATCTTTAATGTAATAATTTACATTAAGACAAAAAATACAAACATATTTGTTAATTTGAGATAACTTTTAAACTTATATATCATATGAATGTT